TATTGTCACCCGGGCGTCTGGAGGGCCTGACCTAACTCACCTTATGTCTCTAAGGAGTGCTTAAAGCTGAGGAGCCCGAGTGGTAATGACTAGGGCCAGGATTTGCTCCCGAGGATGCCCATGCTCATAGGGTGGACCGGGTGTTGTTTCCAGTCGTTGAAGTACCAGTGCCACGAGAGAGTCTGTCACGATCGCTTTTCCGCCTTTCGAATTTTAAATGCCGCATGCAAGCTTTTAGACCACTTTTGGGCACCTACGCGTATTTACAGAAAAGCCTCGAAATCTTTACGTGAATATTTCGTGGCCCTTCAGAAAAGTTTTAATTTGAATAAATTTGGGTGTGAAGCAGGTCTAAGAGCGAGAACCGCGAGGCGACCGTTCTCTTTGATGGTAGACGATGGGAGACCAGGCAGATTGTACCAAAGCACCAAATGGCCGAAAAAAGTCGATTTGTAAGTGACTGCAAAGTCTTTGGAACAGTTCCAGAAGGCAATTACACAAACTTAAAAAAAAAAAAAATCTTCCCGGAATCCAGGACTATCCACCGCGCAGACTTTGAAACTGACTTGATCACCAATATGACTTCCTTAAGGGCTCTCCAAGTATCCACGAGAAAATTACTTAGAACCTTTGGAGGTCTGAAGTGCATTCATAAGGAGGTCGTTTCCTTTGTTGTTTTTGTTCTTGTTTCTTTTTTATGCTTTAACAGAGAAAGCGTCTGTGTTCATGTAATGCGCATGCTGATATGAATTTATGTGTGCCTGTGTCTGTTATGTGCACATGTGTGTGTGCACATGTGCACATGAGAGAGTGGCAAAGAAAGTGTATGTGTGTGAGAAAAAAAGTGTGTTCGTGTGTGTGCGAGAGAGAGAGAGAGAGAGGGGGGGAGAAGGGGGAGAGGGAAAGAGAGAGAAGAAGAGAGGGAGAGGGGAGAGAGAGAGGAGAGAAAGAGGAAGAGAGATAGGGAAAGAGGACAGAGAGAGAGAGAGGGATGAAAGAGGGACAGAGAGAGAGGGATGAAAGAGGGAAGGAGAGAGAGATGGGGTGGAAAAGGGAGAGAGAGGAGGGAAAATAGGAGAGAGAGAGAGAGGGAAAAGAGGGGAGAGAGAGAGAGAGAGCGGGAGGAAAGAGGAGAGAGAGAGAGAGAGAGAGCGGAATGAGGAGAGAGAGAGAGAGAGAGAGATGGAAAAAAGGAGAGAGAGGGTGGAAGAGGGAGGGAGAGAGAGAGACAGACAGAGACAGACAGACAGACAGACAGACAGACAGAGACAAGGAGAGAGAGAGAGAGGGGGGGAGGTAGAGAGAGAGAGAGAGAGAGGAAGAGAGACAGAGAGAGAGGTGGGGGGAGAGGGGAGAGAGAGGGTGGGAGAGAGAGAGAGAGGGGGGAAGAGAGACAGAGAGAGGGAGAGAGACAGAGAAGAGAGAGAGAGAGAGAGAGAGAGAGAGAGAGAGAGAGAGAGAGAGAGAGAGAGAGAGAGAGAGAGAGAGAGAGAGAGAGAGAGCAGAGAGAGAGAGAGAGAGAGAGAGAGAGAGATGGGAGGAGAGAGAGATAGACAGACAGAGAGGGGGGCCAAGGAGAGAGAGAGAGGGGGGTAGGAGAGAGAGAGAGTGGGGGGGAGAAAAGAGAGAGGGGGGAGAAACAGGAGAGAGGGGGAGAGGGAAAGAGAGAGAAAGGGGGGACTGAGAGAGATAGAGAGAGGGAGAGGGACTGAGAGAAAGAGGGAGAGGGACTGAGAGGTAGAGGGAGAGGGACTGAGAGAGACGAAGAGGAAGAGCGAAACGAAGAGGGAGTGGGAGAGAGAGGGAGTGGAGAAGGCAGAGAGAGAGAGAGAATGTCAATGTCCAGACATGTGTGAGTTAAAACTAACCTTTGGATATATGTTATTAAGGTTGTTGTTGGAAGCCTAATGTACTTATGTGAAGGTATGATGGCACACATGCACTGAATTCCTGAGCTAGTTAAAAGTGATACATTTAATTAATTGTTTTTCTTATATGAATAAATATATAGAAAGATGTATATCCAAAAGTCATTTTTTTAATTACATTATCTTCATCCATTAGGACTCAAAGCTGAAGCACATGGCTGAGTTGCAGCTGTCAGTGGTGTCTGATGCAGAGAGCAAACAGCAGATTATGGGTCAGATCAAGCAGTGGGAGGAGAATCTAGAACGTCTACATTGTGAACAATTCCGCCTGCGGTGCTACATGGCATCTCTACAAGCAGGAGAACTGCCAAATCCAAAGGTAAAACTTTTCTTCTGTGCAAAAACAAGGCAGCCTCTAAGTGGATTAAAACCACCAACTTGATTAGCAAAGTTAACAGGAAAATTTTAAAGAAGATATCAAATGAACTTAAAACAAACTTCCTTGGATGGCATATCACAAACTGCATTATGTATTGTTATCTTAAATCATGTTTTAACCTTTTTTGTCACTTTTCCAAAATTATTGTTCAAAAAAGTATTCCACAGATGTCATAAGAGCCCTGTATACTCATGCTAAGAATAACTTTGAAATTAACTTGTTTTTCTGAAAATAATGTTCATTCATAATGTAAAGCAGTTTATTTATGATCTCTGCAGACATAGACTGTCAGTGCTAAAACCTTATGTTTTCATTTCTATTCATTATTATAACTGTCAGGAAATGAATTTTACCATCTCTCTCAAAAACTTTTCAGGGACTCCTGACTCATGTGTCACGCACAACCAAGACAACTCTGAACCGTTTAGGTGTATTCACAGTGAGCAGCTTCCATGCATACATTTGTGCCCGTAGTCCTTCCCTGCTCAACAATCTCCTTGCAGGCAGAGGAGCAACTAAACGCAGGTATTTATATAGTCTGCTACATGGCATTTGTGAGTATATTGCATCTTGTTAAAGGGTATTCATGGATAACAGGGAAAACAATGATCACGAACTTTAAAAAGAAAGCTGTAACTTGATCTATTAGTCAGTATACTGTACAGTGACTAGCTGTAAAAAAAAAAAAAAAAAAAAAAAAAAAAAAAAAAAAAATATATATATATATATATATATATATATATATATATATATATATATATATATATATATAAATTAAAGTATGTAGATTATAAACCTAGTCTAGATGAATTTAACTAGATTAAAATGTAGAAAAAAGTGTAAATTTCATATTGGAAGGATTAAATGTCTTTACATTTGTAGTCGGTTCCTAATTTTATTATATTTTTTCTTCAATAGGAACAGTTTGGAGAATGCTGTGCAGCATGTATTTAATTAAAAGTCATGTAAAGGGATTTTTAAAATCATTTTTGTCTTTATCATAGATTGACTAATTTTTTAAAGTTGTGAATATTCTCCATCTATATAATATTTAAATGATTTTAGGGCACCCATGTTATCACGGAGCAACAGTGTGTCATCACGAAGATCCTTACAGATGCAACAGCAACTTGAAGGTGAAAAGCAATACAAAGTCAACCTTCCAGATAACCAGGTTTGTTTGTTTTATCCAAATTGTTTCTGAAAAGCATTTTTGTTCGCTTCTATTTGCAATGAAACTAGACAATCATTTCCACTAACATTGTTGTTGTTACCTTTATTGCTCCAGCCTTTGTTTAGTGCATACATATTGAACAAAATTCTTATTCTGTAGTAAAACTAGTACAGCAGTGGCATAGCTTTTGAGACCATTCCAGTAATTGCATCTTATCTTGCAGACTGTGACCATTAGCATAAAAGATTCCATGACTGTGGAGGAATTCCTGGTAGCAGCAAGTGGCAGGAAGAACCTTAACCCAATGGAACACTTTGTGAGAGTCAAGAAACGTCGTGAGTTGGAGGAAACCAACTACTTCGTCCCTCATCGTACAGACCTCATAGAGAACTATGTATGAAGACAATTGCTTTTGTTTTTTGTTTGGTCATTTGTGATTTGATAGGCATTATCCTATGTGTATGGTCATGAAGGTAATATTAATGAAAAATGATATGCAGTTTGTAGTTTGTTTTAGATATTTAAGGGACATTGTGCTTATTCTATCTCAGCCTCTCATGGAGCTTGTACAAAAGTCTTTATGGACGATTTAGTCACATGTATGCCACTTTGCAGACATTGGTGCCTACATACCAGATATTACACAAATGTTGTTTCTCTATAGTTGGCAACTCATGAAGTAGTTGAGATCTGCGCCAAGATCCTGTACCAGGTGGAGTTGTCTCGCTCCTCACTTGACCACATGTGGGGCTTCAGTGTGGAGGCAGAGCTCATTGAGAATTCTGAGCGGCAGGATGAACTTTGCTGCTACATCTCCAGGGTGGAAGATAGATCCACTGCCATGCAAAATGGTGTGTAATGTAATTTCAGTGCATGATTTTTTTTCTTTCTTTTTTCATAATCTTTCTACCTCTTCTGACTCATTTAGAAATTTGTTTTACATGTAGAAGTTAGAACATATTTTTTACACATTAGTTTACTATTTACAAGGATTTTAAGTATGAGACTGCTACAAAAATATCTGAATGAAATTTTATTTTGCTTATCTAAGTTTGTTTTTGTTTTTATTTGACTTGTGTAAGGGCCATCAATACTCTGAAGTGCGAAAGATTTATACATAAAGACAAATTATTTTGACCAGTATGAAAATAGTAACTTACCTTTTTTTTGCATATATTGTACCATAGTATAATATTCAGTGCAAAAGGAAATCCTTAGGAAACTTTGCTAGAAGAGTAGAAAAAACTGATGGCACAATATGGTAACTTTCCACAATACTGTAAATTATACATAGGATGATAGTGATGCTTTTTAGTGCTCAGCATAGATTTTCTTAACAATTTTTTTTTTTTTCTTTTTGTCATTTTTACCTAGTAGCTTGGAAATAGCAAAATAGAATGCTTGTTCATTTATAGTTATTATGTAATATTAGTAAAGAATATGTGAATTCAAGCATTGGTAATTTGAATATTTCTATCAACAAAAAAGTGACTGGGAGGCCAAAGTAAAGAAGTAGCAATGGAAATATTAGTAAAAAAAACTGAACTTTTCTTATTTGGTCTAATTATTTAAAACTGAATAGAGGTCAGTTTGATATGATGCAAAGAGGCATCAGTAATTATAGGCATATAGATATAACTGATGACATATGAGACTCTTAATAGATATTTGAATGAAATTAATTTCAAAACCAGTAGAATGATACAAAAATGTTGAGCAGTATTTAAAGTTTCCTGACTTACAAATTACTAATATTGTAGTTATTCTGCCCATCTTCTGTGGGTGAATTTTTGAGTGAAATGTATACTATGATTTTTATTTGACAGAGATAATTCTCTTGAAATTCAGAGGTGCTTTGGTTTTTCCTGAAAGATAATTGCAATTAAAAAAGTAAAGATAAATGAAAATACGATGGAGAAGCATAAATGAAGACCAACATTTCATCAACTTCTTTACTTCTATAATCATATACATATTACCTTCCAGGACTACACATAATGTGTAGTACGTGAAATTTGTTATGAATACCAACCAATACAGATAATGGTGTACATGTGTAATCAGAAAATATAAAACACAAAACACAAATAGATACACAGTATCACAAATGCATGATTTCCACCAAATGATATGAACAGCTGCTGCTTTAGTACCTTGAAGCTTTCACAACATGCATCTATCCACTTTTACTGATATACTGATATCTGAATAAATATTTAGTGGTATACGCTTGTGCACATATACTCTCTCTCTCTCTCTCTCTCTCTCTCTCTCTCTCTCTCTCTCTCTCTCTCTCTCTCTCTCTCTCTCTCTCTCTCTCTCTCTCTCTCTCTCTCTCCTCTCTCTCTCTCTCTCTCTCTCTCTCACACACACACACACACACACACACACACACACCACACACACACACCACACACACACACACACACACACACACACACACACACACACACACACATAATATCTGTGCTGAGTTCATGCTGAATAAATTGTAAAAAAATAACAAAGGGAAGAGCAAGAAAACACATGATATACAGAAGGTCTTTTCACTTTATTGTTTCTTCAGGGCCATGAAGAAGCAGTAAAGTGAAAAGGTGTATTTGTGCTTTTTTGCTCTTCCCTTTTTTACTTTTTTTACACAGATGTATGTAAAAGCATGGACATGCACACACACACACACACATACACACACACACACACACACACACACACACACACACACACACACACACACACACACACACACACACACACACACACACACACACACACACACACACACACACACACACACACACACACACAACACACACACACACACACACCACACACACACACACACACACACACACACACACACACACAACACACACACACACACAACACACACACACACACACACACACACACACACACACAACACACACTCACACACTCACACACACACTCACACACTCACACACTCACACACACTCACACACTCACTTACTTTCTCTCTCTCTCTCTCTCTCTCTCTCTCTCTCTCTCTCTCTCTCTCTCTCTCTCTCTCTCTCTCTCTCTCTCTCTCTCTCTCTCTCTCTCTCTCTCTCTCTCTCTCTCTCTCTCTCTCTCTCTCTCTCTCTCCCTCTCCCTCTCCCTCTCTCCTCCCCTCTCCCTCTCCCTCTCCCCCTCCCTCCCTCTCCCTCACTCTCCCTCTCCCCCTCTTCCTCTCCTCTCCCCTCTTCTCTCTCTCTCCCTCTCCCTCTCCCTCTCCATCTCCCTCCCCCCCCCCCCCCTCTCTCTCTCTCTCTCTCTCTCTCTCCTCTCTCTCTCTCTCTCTCTCTCTCTCTCTCTCTCTCTCTCTCTCTCTCTCTCTCTCTTCTCTCTCTCTCTCTCTCCTCTCTCTCTCTCTCCTCTTCACTTGCTCCTTTATCTCTGATTTATTTTTCTATTTTTCCCATTCTCTTTCTTTTTTCTTTTTCTTTTTTTCTTTTCTTGCTACCTGTCTCTTTCTTTCTTTTTTATTATTTCTGTTAGCAAATAGTTTTCAGCTGCTTTATATATTAGAATTAATTCCATATTTTCCTGCATGATTTTATATTAGATAACTTCTAAAGCTAAGAATAAAAATCCACTGGATTATCATTCTACACATCATATATTTATATGAGTGTATGCACGTTTTTGTCACTGCAAGTGCATTTTGTATATACAGTATATGTTAGAAGACATGGAATGATGCATTACCTATATACATCACAACTTCAGATATGAAGTATTCCAAATGCTTTCCCTTTGTTTAGTATTTCATTCATACTCTGGCTTTTACATATTCTGTGGGCATGTAATAAGCTTATTGTGAATTCATGTACATGCTCTGGTAACTACAAATTTGCTTTAATGTGAAGATTATTTGAAATCATAGGTTTTCCATTGCAGCCTTTGGATTAGTTTGATAAGCCAGTATATATGCATCACTGCTTAACACTTTATATTTATTAGGATATTGCAATATGAACCTCTGATTTAGAATGCCTATGTATCATAATAATCAAAAGGTACTGTAAGTGTTCATGATCTATTGATGGTCTGATTACAGTCTCTTTGCGGCAAGTCAGACAGGTTCACTTTGCAGGAAGTGGCCTACTTTCAGCATTTATTTACTTAGCATTTTCACTTGCTGCCTAAAAAATTGTAAAGGAACTCTTTCAGTTACCTGAATATTGATGTAATACTACAGGACTGTATTTCATACAAAAATATTAGTTAAAGGATTGTTTTTCACTGTCCTAGTCCTATTTTTAGAATAACACAAATGCAACAAAACATATTGATACAGTACAGACTAGAATATATAAAGACATATTGGCTTCCCATAACTGTTTATACATTTGTATCTGACATTGAATGGAATAAGCTACTACTTACAATAACTAATGTGGAAACCTAAATTACTCATGCTTTTGATTCCCTCTTTGAGTTTATTATGATAGAGATATATTAGTTCTGAAGGCACATCATGTAGATACAGTTGGTAGTTCTAACCAAGGCCTTTGCATATTTATTTCAAATACTTTGTACATAGAAATATAAATTGATAATCATCTGTTCTACCTATGATGAATTACAAGTTTCCTAAGGATCAGTGACAAAATATACCTTTAGAATGATGCCTGAAAACAAACGTGTTTATATGTTAGTGCATTTGATGGACTGACATAACTGAAAAGGATTAACAATTTTTAGAATCTGATAATCAGATAATCTGGTTATTTTTTCAAAATTTGTTCACTTTGAAATAATCTGCAGTAAATTAATTGTATATATATTTGTTTGAGTATAAAGGAATTCTGATGATTTATTCCTTACCAGGAATGAATTAGCAACCGAAAAAATGAAAAATTGCTATGAAGACTCATATGTAACAGCATTCAGCTATATCAGTATTTCAGTAAAAATAGCATCACTGATGAAACACTAAGATGTTTTATAATTGAAGTAAAGTAGTATATGTCTGTTAATTGCCTCAGTCTAATTATATATCTATATATTTTTACATCAGATTGCGCGTGTGTGTGCTTATGTGCGTGTGTGTGTGTGCATGCATGCATGATTGGTGTGGGTGACTGTGTGAGTGTTGGCATTTAGATATATGTGTGTGTGTGTGTGTGTGTGTGTGTGTGTGTGTGTGTGTGTGTGTGTGTGTGTGTGTGTGTGTGTGTTGTATGTGTGTATGGGTGTGTGTTTTCAGATGCATAGATTTCTGTTTAGTAGATATTAAGATATCTGTATTTTTTATGGAATCTGTACAAATTTTGTTTTGTTTTGCAATATTTTATATTTTATTATTTTACCTATTTTCTCATTCCTTTTGTAATCTTTAGTCTTGCTTATATTTATTTTTATTTATTTTTTACGAGTAGATGCAATGCTCTTGCTAACTCTTTGAAGGTGTGGGGTCAGTAAGAAAATTACAAATTAAGCAATCTCTTTCTATCATAAGCAGCTCAGTTTTTCATGGATACTTCTTAAATGTCCCTAGCTGTCTAATTTTCAAAAGCTTGCATTTGAATGTGCATGTCTTTCCTAGAATTCCAATCACGTACCTCATGTTATCTCACTCATGATAGGATAACACAATGGATATGTAACAGATTTAAAGGACTGAACAGTAAATTACTTTTATACATGACCTATCCCAACCCAAAGCTACAAGACACATGCAGATCTCTTTCATATGATGAGACTGTAACATGGCCGCAGAGTAATACATCAGACCAACTCATATTAGATAATGATTTAGTGCAAAATGGCATATGCAAATAGTGAAAAGATAGTAATACCTTCATTCAAACTAGGCCCACATGTGTGCATTATTGATGACAGAGCCAGCTGTGTATTGCTTAAGGTATGAGATGAAATGTAAAAGCCATTCATTTAGTAAAGTCACCTTGTTGGTAATTATTCCTCTTTGAAAATGCTGCAATTCTGTGACAGATTTATGCAATGTCAAATGTGATTGATTTATTTATTTTATTCACATTTTTTCCTTGTTGTTCACACATCAAACTGTACAAGCCCTCCCTCCTCCCCCTCCCTCCTGCCACATGGGTTATGTAGCAAGTAAAACTTTGTTCAAAATCCTATTTCTAGAGACGGTATTTAGTATCCACCTAGTAGCCATTCCTACTGGAATGTTATGCTTTCTCTTCTAGAAGTACTGAGTTTGCTGTAACTGAAATAAGGAGACTACTTTGAATATAGAAAGGAGTTCAGTTTAAGTTTACTTATGAATCTCCTATTACTTCACTCAAGATTCAGTGACTTGAATCTTCCTGAATTATGGTAATGAATTTCTTGTCCCTGAAGTATTAAGTTTACTTTTCCTAAAGTGTTAAGTTTGTTCTCCAAAGAGTACTGAGCACGCTTTTCTTCAAGTACTCTGTGTACTCATCAAGTACTGAGTGCAAAGATCCTTAATGTGTTCATTTTATATTTCTTAAAGTAGTTATGTTACTCCAGATTTGTTGGATTTATTCT